AAATTTATTTAACATATATATACATAATTTTAATGTTAATTTTAAGTATGATTTAACAATATATATTATGTATCATTATAATTTATATTTATACTTTTTAACTTATATCAATATATATATATATATTATATTTATAGTGTGTGAATTTTTAATAACTTGTAAAATGGGTCACATGACAATTTTTTTTAGTGTACTTATAAACAAACATGTGATAAACATCACGTATTGTTTCTTATAATTACCGATTATTTAGTACAAATATTTTTTAATGTATATTTCAGAATATTATCGAGCGACAATCTTTTATATCTTGATACCCACCCGAAAAGTGATTGTATATATTTTTGCTAAAGTAATGATTAAAGAAACGCAAGAAATTGAAAATGGGTACGAAAGAAAGGATAATGGTTCCCATATGCAAGGTACGTAGGAGTGATTGGGGAGCCGGTGATAGTGGGGTAGGGTTCCAATTAATGTGGTTTAGGTTTAAGAAAAAAGTACATGTCTAAGCCAATCAAAACAACTAGGTTTCGAATTTAGAAAATTTTACATATCAAATCAACTAAACAAAATTAACCTTTAATTGTTAGTTTTAAAATATTACATAATTCATAATCATAGAAAAGAAAAATAAAAACAATTGATATTAAGTCTTGATATTGTTTTTCTTGATAAAAAAGAAAAACAAAAAAAAAAATTATCTTCTTCTCGCTTCACTTACTTTTTCCCTCCTTAATTGTCTATTTCCACCATTTCTCCTCTTCCTTCACTTCTCTTTCAAACTCAAACTCAAAGCCTTCCAACAAATCATATCATAGGTTATTAAATCTTCCTCTTCTTTAATTTGTTTCCTATGACCATTTGTTGCCTCGAGTGATCTCCATTTCGTATACTCATTCCCGTGTCGTCCATGTTTCATTTATAGATCATATTAGTTAAGTCGAAAACAAATTTGAATTACAAAACTCTTATATTTAACATAATTACATATTTAAACTCGAATTCAAGATTATTAATTAAATTAAATTAAAATAATTCACACCAGGTGGTCCACATGTTCAGTTGTTGTTCCATCACTTGTTGACGATAACTTTGCGGCCACCAGAGGATAAAGCTAACAAAATTAAGTTTTGCATAAATATATTTCTATTGTTTTGGATGTACGTAGTGTAGTACCAACCAAACAAATCAATTTTTTTTCCCTAC